AAAGTATGTAAAGTGAAAATTTTGGTAGTATATTTCAACAACTGTTTTATGATGGTACTAAAATGTTTTAGTTTAAATTTGGAAACAAAAATTTTACGGGTTTTCAAATGAAAAATTGTTTTAAAAGTGATGTGACATCTATATCTCGTGTACGGAAAAGTATACAGGAGATGAACGTTACACTTATCGATCGTAGAAGCTCTCGTGGCAAAGGCGTAGGAAGTGGTGGAAGCATAAATCTCGGAACCTATAGTCTGAATCAGGTCGTCGAGTTTAAATGATGTTAACAAAGCGCTTATGGGAGTCAACCCATTGTTATTTTATTTTGTTAATTTTTTTTGCAATTTAAATTTATTTCTTAATTTAATTTATTTTTTCTTTGGTTAATATTTAGGTACTCGGGGCATTTTATCAGAATTAAAATAGAGTCGAAAGCGAAAAATTCCAGCTAAAATAACGATTTTTTGGCCAAATTGTCAAGCAACATGCGTGAAAATTTTCTCCAAATCAAGGTGCACCATTTCATTAAAAATGACACATGTTAGTAGGCCTTTTGGAGGTACAACGCACGTTAGTGTTGCCCATTTTATTTTATCCCACTATCGCTTAAACCCAAACATTTCCCCTAACTCTCACAAACATGACCGACCACTTTTCTTTTTTGAATCTCAATCAACTTTATTTCATTATTTCACACTTGACCTAAACCCCTATCTCCTAAAATTTTATTTATTCATCATCTTCTCCCCTTCACATCTCCATAATTGTCGACCTTTACTACTAAAAAACAAAATGTGTGTTGCCACTACCTGCCTCTGCAAATGGGTAACACCACCCCTACATCGCCGGACCGAGTCATGACCGCTGTCTATCTCCACCTTAGACACCTTCAATCCTTTCATTCAATGCCAACAGTGGCATCATCATCTTCCTCTCGATTACAACAATTTTCTTCTCACCCTAGGAACTCGTCCTTTTATTAATTATTAATTCATTCTACTATGGATGACCATAATCCCGAGAGGACTTTTCAATCGACCATTTTCTGGGACATCCCAACGTTACACCTTCCTATCAATACCATTTCGGACAACAATTGATCACGGGGAGTTTCCTTTAACCTTTCTCTTTATACTTTAATTTTAATTTATTTTGTATTGGGACAATACGATTGAGTGAAGGGGTAATGGTTGCATCAGATTCCGCCTACTTGTCTTTTATTTGTTGATTGAATCTTTGATTGAATTGGTTGATTACTTAATTGTAATTCTTCTTTTTTTCGTCGACTATTTCAAGCATGATTGTGGTTATTTGAGCTCATGAAATTGCCTTGAAGGTTGACACCCTTGATAGTTGAATGGTATGAGTAGGATGCTAATTTAATGGCTTTTGCAACATCCTTGATTTTGTTGGTTAAATTTTTCGCCTAGCTTGATTCATTAACATACTTTGTGAGATTTTGAGCCTTGAGCATGTTTATCTTCACTTTTATGCTCTCTTTCTTTCTTGAGTGTGTCGAATTAAGTTTTAGAAATCTAGAACTTGTGGCATGATGCATTTTGAGACTACAATTGAAATAGGTTGCTTAATATGACTTAAGAATTAGGATTTCCCCCATTTTTACCCAAGAAAAAAACCTACCCCTTTTTCTTTTCCACCAGGGAACCAAGTAAAAGCCTATGCCCATTTCCTTATTTTCACCTTCATTAAAAAACCACAAACCATTTTTGTTTTTTCACCCTTGACATGACAAAGAGTTGAAATTTATTTGCACCTTTGTTCCACGGAAAAAATTGAAAAAAAAAAAGAAAAAAAATAATTTGTTCATTTATTTTTTGTTATGGTGTATATACATTTCTTTTGCTTCATTCATTTTGTTTCACTCGTGGACTTAGAGATATTGTAGGAAATTATTTGCCTAGTTTTTAAACCTTCATTTTTTTGACCTTTACCTAGGCCCCATTACATCACTTCTAAAAGCCTAATGATCTTACATCATATTTCTTTTAAGTAGTGGAGAATTGATTGTGTCACAAGATTATGGAAATCCTTATTTAATTATGACTTTGAGCGTAATTTTTGCACCAGAAACACATTTGAGTGAATCTTGGTGAGGAATTAAGTTAAGTTGAATATTTGATTGATGAATGATAGAACATTGCATGGTTGTTTGGTTTATTCTTATGTTTATTCACTTGATTGGTGTTTTATTCGTGTGATTATTGTGGGCTTGATTTCCATGATTTGCTTAAGTAAGAAACGAATTGGGAGAAGGTAATAAAAGTTTTTAAATAATTTAATCTGAGCATCCTTGAGGGCAAGTAGGAGACAAGTGAGGGGGAATTTGATGAGTGCTTGCAATTGACACTTTTTGCTTGCCAATTCTCTTGCTTTATGAACTTTTTACTATTGATTTGATTGTATTTGGCTTATTTTTGTGCAGATAACATGTTTAATGGAATTTGAAGCAAAAGGCACGTTTGCAACTTTTGTTGTTTTCTGGTCACGGCTGGAGGCATGGGCACGATGTTGGGCATTACGCGGGTCTGACGTGGTAGTTTCTAAAGGTCCAGTCAGCACGGAGATTTTGATAGCCGTCCAATCAACATTATCCGAGGATATTTTCTAGGATTTTAGTTTTCAATTATAAAACTTAAAAACATTTGAATTATTTTGATTTATCTTTTTTTTTATCATGTTATTTTTAGATTTAAGAAGCTTATAAATATCATATTTAAGAAGCTTATAAATATCCTTCATGGGTAAGGGCTTGAACATATGTTTTTTACTTTTTTATTTTTGGCATTTTTATTTTAATTAAAGTCTCTAATTTTTTTCACTTTCTTTTATTTTCCAAGTTATTTTATTTAAAAATTTGCTAAGTATGATCACTTTTGCTTGCCAATTCTCTTGCTTTATGAACTTTTTACTATTGATTTGATTGTATTTGGCTTATTTTCTGTGCAGATAACATGTTTAATGGAATTTGAAGCAAAAAGGCGCGTTTTGCAACTTTTTGTTGTTTTCTGGTCACGGCTGGAGGCATGGGCACGATGTTGGGCATTACGCGGGTCTGACGTGGTAGTTTCTAAAGGTCCAGTCAACATGGAGATTTTGATAGCCGTCCAATCAACATTATTCGAGGATATTTTCTAGGATTTTAGTTTTCAATTATAAAACTTAAAAACATTTGAATTATTTTGATTTATCTTTTTTTTTATCCTGTTATTTTTAGATTTAAGAAGCTTATAAATATCATATTTAAGAAGCTTATAAATATCCTTCATGGGTAAGGGCTTGAACATATGTTTTTTACTTTATTTATTTTTTGGCATTTTTATTTTAATTAAAGTCTCTAATTTTTTTCACTTTCTTTTATTTTCCAAGTTATTTTATTTTAAAAATTTATGCTAAGTATGATAATCAATATCATGTTTAGCTAATTTTCTCGTTCCAAGAGCTAGTAATGAATTGATTCTATTCGTGAGAATCAAGAAAAGAACTTAAATCCCTTCGGGAGACATTCTCGTTTTTCTAGATAAAAGAGCTTGGCAATCGGCCTTGCTCATAATTCTTAAACATTGTTGGTCCAAACATTGTTTGGAAGTACCGTTGGGAGGAAGGATCGGCCTGTGGCACTTCGACTTCCTGTGAACACCCTTAGTGGCAATCCACTAAGGGAAAATGAGATCGGAATCGATTCTCGACGAGAAAATATCTGAGTCGGGCCTTTCCGTTTTTTAATTTGAATGTTTTAACGACAATAGATGTGGTAAATCCACTCAAGAATCGTCTTTCAAAGATAGACTTGAGAAGATCGTTTACACAAGAGAATGGCAAGTTACAATAAGTTGGGCATTGTACACTGTAACAAACATGAATCCTTAAACAAAAATACATTTCTATGATCGAAGGAATCGAAACAAAGCTAGCTTAAGTTAGTTTCTCTCATCATAATTTTTTCCAAATTATTTATTGTTTTCTTCTAATTCATTACTTTATTCAATTATTTATTTGATTTTACTTAGTTTGTTTCATCTTAAATTCGCCTACCACACCCTTTTTTTTTTACTTTGTTTTGTTACAGTTACTTGGACGAAATCAACATAAATCGCATATGAGATTTCAATATTTCTCAATGGATCGACCCTCTTCCACTATTATTCTTTTCACTTGTTTATTTTATTTTTGAAGAGGTTTATTTTATTTTGATGAGTAAAACTATGGTTTTCAAACCCTATGTTTTGATCATCTTGGATGAATCATTTTCGATTTATTAAAACCGAGATCAATCTCGAGAGTGCCTCTGTTGCCCTTTCTCTCTCTTCCTATGACTTTGCATCGAGCAATTTGATGAGCTTGGGCATAAGACCGACACCCCCCATTGCCTTCTTAGCTTCTTCTGATGCAACACAAAGCCTAGATGTCACCTTGAGAAGTGATTTTTGAACCGAACCTCATCGTTGCGAAGAAAGAACAATTGATCGATGAAACCATTATCAATCAACATATTGATTCTGTTATGTGATGAAAAACATAGATTCTCGATTGCCCTTGATGAAACTTTTCTCAGTTTCGAAGAGGTAGCTGATTTTCGAATCCAAAACGCGTACTAACGCGAGAATCCCTCCTTCGGTAGCGACAGTTTGAGGAATCTATTCATCCCCAGAAGCTATATTTTGAAGGAACTTGTTATGACCCAAGCAGCTATGCCAACTCAGAAATCCTATCAATTATTGACAGGTCAACATTCCAAGGCTTTGTTGGTTACGGTAACTAGCTATAAAATATAGTGGAGTCAATGAAGGAAGGGCATGAAATATTGTTATAATCTGTTACTCTCTCCCTTTCTAGTTTTCTCTCTATTCTTCCCTCCTATTTATTCTATCTTCTCTATTTGCTGTAATTTCTTGTTCTTCAATGGAATACAACTTAATTACTTGAGTTCATATCATTAAGAAACTGAGTTCATAACATAACTCTATTGAATTTATCTGCAAAATGTCATCATTCGATCTTGCGAGCTCGATGAACATCGAGATTGCTCCTTCATCAACCATGAATCTCTTAATCTCCTCGACAACGACAAGATTTCGCAACACCCCACAAGCCAGACCGAACAATTCACCATTAATATTGCCATTAGAACATATTTTCTACAGGGCAGTTACACCACCATAAGCCGAAACAGACCGTGCATTGTTTGCATTAACAGTCAACTTATAAAGACACTTATCAGCTTTTTCTTTACCCAAATCACTACCACTCTCAAGAACCCTAATCAAATTCCTAATAATCCCAGCTTTAACCAAAAACCCTTTATACAAATCAAACCCAGAAATCAAAGACAAAATCTTTGAAGCATGTTCTTGAATCCCCATATCTGAGGAATCAAGAAACTCTACCAAAACATACACAATGTCACCAATTTCTACTACGAGTTTAACATACCTCTCATCATCGCCCACAGCTAGATATAAATTATCCAAAGCTTGCCTCTTCATGTCTGTATCGCCTATCTTCATACTCGTCAACAAATCCCTTATGTAAAACCTCATGTCTTCTTTCCAAGCACCAAGGCCTAGCCTTGAAACAACAATGGAGAAACCACGGCTCAAAATCCCAACAGCGTAAATCCCAGAAAGATTATTCACATGGGAATTGAATTTTGCAATGACAACATCAAGGTCGCTTTGCATCAAAAGCTTCCCGCTGTAAGAAATTTCCAAGCATCTTCTTGCAAGATCACAACACTCATTTAGAGTGACCAAAATTGAAGAAAAATCACAGCTTTCAATCGACATTAACCCAGAACTCAACTCTTTGGGCTTCTTCTAAATAACCTGCATTTAACATTTAAGACTCTGATAGAATGTGAAAGAGAAATCAAAGAAGATACGTCCTCAACAACCTGTCGGAGACTCGATTCCATTGCTGCTTCAATTCAATAACTAATATTAAACAAAACTCATTTCTTTTGATGAAATGAATCAAAGGAAATGCACCGAGTGGTCAATAGGAGAAAGAGAAGGGCAATTCTGTCATGGTGAAAAGGTAGCCGAAGGCTCAGATTGTTGGAAGGTGAAAACAGATTTAAGTGACAGAGGAAGAAGAAGATATGATTAAAGGAAAAAAGTGTATGCTGAAGGAGAAGGACGCAAGGGATTGAATGGCTTTTTTATCTCTTCGATGAATGTACATCAATGGATTTACATGGCGTTGGGTGGTGGTTTTACCCAAAATTCACCCTAACAATAAATAATTGTGTTATTTTTAATTATGTTTGTTTTTTAATGTTTTTTTGTTTTTTTACATTTGAATTTCTATACTATTTATTTAATTAGGGGAATGATCGTATATTAGATCCATTTATTCGTAACGCTAAGTTAGAGATATTGAGTCGTGTCTGCCCATATTTAGTTGAGACTGGATTCGGTTACATAGCAAAATATGAAGGGTATTGTAACCTTGAACCCAACCTTATTTCTGCACTGATTGAGAGGTAGAGGCCAGAGATTCACAAATTCTATCTTTCATGCGGGGAGTATACTATTACGCTAGAGGATGTTCTAATATATTTGGAGCTTCTGGTAGATGGGGATGTTATTTCTGGTGTGACGGATGGTGATTGGTATTCTTTGTGCGAGTAGTATCTTGGAGGTATCACACCTAATTTTAACAGTGGTCGAATACCATTATCATGGTTGGCTACAAATTTTCAACATTTGAGTGAAGATTGTTCTAAGGAACAGACTAAAATATTTGCTCGGGCTTGTATATTATAACTCGTAGGAGGAATCTTGATGCCCGAAAAATCTCACAACCAAACTCATTGTATGTGGTTGCATCACCTCGAAGATTTTCACGTTTCCGACTCTCTCAGTTGGGGCTTCACAGTTTTGGCATCTATGTATAGAGAAATGTGTCAGACCATTGATTATCAAAAAAATGCTATATGTGGATGTCTCCTTCTTCTTCAGTCATAGAAGTGGTATCGTATGCCCTTTTTATGTTCGGTTGTGAATAACCCGTTCGTCTTCCTGTTATTGTTGATGTAATTTCAATACTGAGTTCGTATATAAATATTTTCTTGAGAATATAATGAAATATTTTTTTACATTGAATATGTGTCATGTACAATGAAATATCATCGTGGTATACTAGATGAATTAGAAGAAATTTGGCTATTCATTGGTTACAAGGATGGTAGAGAGGTATGTATTTAAAATTTTATTATATACCTTTAATTATCGTTATTTAATTAGAATATTATTTTTATAAGAATTATATATTTTTGTTTTAGTTTCAATGGGCTCCTTATTGTACTGAAGAAATGAGGTTTTGCATCCCACCTCACTTGATGGCTCATTAGATGTATGAATTGTGGTGGTCCCTCTGATACGTTATCCTATTGTCGAGTAGCATCTTATTGATCACATGCTGAACCAATTTGGTTTCGTACAAAATATTCTTGAAGTACCTAGGAATCTCAAAAATATTCATAACGTCGATATACAGGACATCAACTAGTTGATGAAGCACAACGAGTGGATAATAATATGGGAGGATCGACATAGATACATTCCTCGTACGAAGCCGATTTATGTGGATCAATATTATGTTACACCTGACTATTATTAATGGTTCAACACGAACTGGAAGTCATTCCTACTTTACGAGAAAGCACGAGGCGAGAGCATTCATAGACACCGAGAAAAACGTCCATCGTCACATCATCATCATCCCCCGACTTATGGATGGAGAACATGCACTTCTGACTTGTCCTCAATTGTAGCACTGGTACCATCACAGCAGCCACCGTCTACACTGGTTTACATTCCCAACCTGCCACTATACATGGGCACACCATCGGTTCAGATGGCACCTGATACATGCACCAAAGTCCATAATACATGCTTCTTTGGACTAATGTTTCTACTTGAACCTATTATAAGAACAAAGTCTCGAAGATTCAAAGCATATCTATTCAGCAAGCATAATGTGAATGAATCATTAAACGATTCTAATGTTGATCCCTTTAATGTTTTAGATTCGAGGTTGAATCTTTTTGAAGAAAGGGAGGATGATACATGCATCACAAGGCTCACATTAAAGGAAGAAGTAATAACTCTTCCAAATAATCCACTCATCCAAGCCTCGGAAAAGAAGACTATAATAGTAACAGACTTGCGATGACTTTTTGAATGATATTATGATCTTATTTGGCCAACATGTCTTCTGGATATACAACCTTATGTCTCTTATCTTTCCAACGGTTCTTGAATCGCAGCAATCCAATATCGGGAACTCAAGATACGTTCATTTTAGTGAAGACATCACATGCAGAAATTCCTATACGAGACTAATACGTGATTTTGAAATATTACGAATTTTCAATATTTATATTGATTATTTGTAATATAATTTAATATAGGATGATGCATTATATTTTATGATTATATTTATTATTTTATTAGGAATTAAGGTTAAGTTAAAACATTATTTTAGTTATTATTTTATTAGGAATTAGAGTTAAGATATGTTTAGTTTGTTATTATTTTATTCATTAGTTATTTAGGACTTTAGAACTCATCCATAAAGGAAGCTTTATTCAACTTTGTAAAATAGATTTATTTGATTAATAATACAACGAGAGTTTTGTTTTTTGATAGTGCTGATTGCCTTGTGCCTTCGAAGCTTCTTCTCCTGGAGTTCTTTCAAGTTCTTGTGAGGGAAATTAATCTTCACACTCCAATTTGCCTTTTCATCGCGACTAGGAGGGTTGGTTAGATCCATATTATCGTGTTTTCCTTTTCATTGCGACTAGGAGGGCTCGATAGGACATTATCCATCTATTTTCCACAAATCCATCCTCACCATGATCACCTTTGTCATCCACCTTCACAAGGTAGATCTTTTGATTTCTTGATTATCATACTTTATTTTTAAGTTCTTTATCTTTTGTTTATATTGTTCTAATATTGTTCCTTAACTTGTTTCCAGCACCTAAAAGAAATCCTAAATAATCCTAGATATTGCCACCACTTTCCCCTATTCATTCCTCATCGTTCTTTATCAAGTCTAGAGCTTTCTAGGTTTGATTCTTCAACAAGAACAACTTTCATTAATCTGCCACCGCTTCCCTATCATCACTGCATCCATTTTAGATGGCACTGCAGTCATTTTAGATGGCACTGCAGTCATTTCAGATGACACCGTAGTCATTTCAGATTCCACCATAGCTGGTTCAGATGCCACCACAGTCGGTTCAGATGCCACCATCACAGGTTTTATGACACCTCCTGATGGATCTAATATTGTCATGCTTATAGATCCAGTGTGGGCTTCATATATTGCTTATTTGGTAGGTGGTGATTCATCTCAGACACAAACACCTCCTACTCAGTATGGATCATAATCATTAATGTCGATGTTTTCACAGTTTTTACAGTTTTCTATGAGCAGTGGGATAGATAGTTATACACCTCCAGGTCCTTATTCTATGGAGGTGCTACATCTTCATCCATCCCTGATCAACAAAATGTAGATGCTACTGTTGATGATGATGATGAGAGTGAGGAGGAAGGGCAAGGTATATGAAAAAACCCTCATCGAAATAGACAACCATCACCTTGTTGAACACATTCAAGACGCAAACATTGATAGGCTTGTTTAGTTTGTAATTTTTATCTAATTTTCTTTATTTATCAACAAATGTAATGAATTGTGTATTTTTTATTTATTTTGTTTCTTAATGTTGTTATTATTTAATTGTTTATTGTAACGTTTTTATTTAATGTTTGTATTTAATTACTTTTAGCATTTACTTTGTAATGCTTTTATTTAGTTTTCACTTTAGTAGCCATTACTTGGTGATGCTCAAATGACATTAATTGAAAGTAAATGAAAATGAAATAAAATAACCTGAGATTTTAGAAACCACAATTACATTATGATGCTCAACGGTTACATGATGATAAAAGAGTTGGACATTTTTCCTATTGTGGCCTAGGTTTCTACAATGGCCACATCTTTTGTTTTCTTTGGACGTCTCTCGAATATCCATATCACAATGAATTCGAGTGGATTTTGGATGATCTACCTCACTTAATAAAGATGTATATGGTATAATCAGAAGCCAATTTTGAACCTCATATGGGTCTTTCTCATTACTTATGGGAGAGAACTCAAATCCATATACCTTAAATACTTCTAAAAGTTGGTATACGGGATCCGAAAAATGGTTATAATCCTGACAGGTATTAGAGAAAGTTGTTATGACATGGGAGCATGAATAATTTAGAGCTTGAAAAAACCCATAGTCACACCACCTATCTTGTAGATTAACTCTAAACGAGTTAGCTTCAATCCCTTGAAGAGGTCATGGCATTTCTGTGATACAAAATAATTCATGGGTTTGAGAGAATCTTGTTACAGACATTTCATTTGATGTAGCAATTCTTTTTTGTTGATTTGCAACTGATATTGGGTGATAAACATGGTCGTTTTGCATCCAAGTCTGAGCTTGTCCCCCGAGCTTGGTAAAAAAACGTTCCCAAACGAAAATACGTTGTTTTAACCAAAGATGTTACTGGTAAATGACGCTCCCCTTTAAGGTCAAATTAATAGCCTCAACCAAGTTGATTGTCATATGTACATATCAATATCCACCATCATATTCATTTGTCCATATTTCCTTGTTGATGAGGTTGATGTAATTGTATCCTTTCTCATTTTTTCCTCGTAAATCTTGAAGAATGGACTCAAACGCTTGAGGTAATAGTTTGTAACATGAGTGTCAAAT